TGCCACCTGTCAATTGTAGTTTTGACGTAATTTTGAGTCCCTCGTGGTGCTTTATGGTCAAAATCACCTGCTACTGTGGTACTGAGTCGTCCCAAACACTGTCCCTCTGCACCACCTCCATCTTATCCCTTTATTGACCAACCCTTTATATTTACCAGTAAAATTGACCATGGGTTCAATAAAGGGTTAAATAAATTCTATATAAACTCAAGTTAAATTTTAAGTTCAGTAAATACATGATGTTTGGGAAGTGGGTGTTAAATATTTATGTCTCTACTGGGCACGCAATCCTAAGAACAAATCATAGTCTTGCTCATGCAGTGTCTGCACCCAATCTAGGCGGTTAGTTTGGCCGGACACTGGAATTATTCTGCATTATTGATGGGGTCACCTGTCCCCGTTCGTACCACCTGTCTCGCTGGTAATTGGATCTCAGATGGTTAAATATCCATCCGCAGCACCTCGAGGACAGCTCTGTTTTTAAGCTTCACATTAAAAATCATACAGTAAGGTGAAGGAGAGGAGACTCGCTGATCTTTTGTTAAAATGCCGGAAAACTCGTCCCACTTTTTCCACAGCGGATCTCGTTACTCGATGTATATTTCATCAGGCCGGACTCGCCACAGCAGCCAATCAGATTAAGTCTTCTGACGCACAAGGTGAATTTGAATTAGATCTGTCCTCTGCTATACGTACTTTTAAAGGGGGCGGAGGGGGGGGATGCCATACTGAGAGGGTTTAGCCAATCGGGGTGGGGGATGCTTCCAGAGTATCCTGATACCTGTCTTCGCGGAGGAGTTGGGTTACACTCTTTTGGTCGACGGCAGCTCTCTGAGGAGCAGAAGCTCTGCCCGGTCAGCTGCAAGGCGATTGCGGGGCACCGTGCGGTAAATGGTGGGCCGAGCTTAGCGCTACCTGTGCATGTAGGGGGGCCTCGGTCGGGTGGGAGGGAGGGGTAGGACCATGAGTACCTCTGAACCTGCACCTGTGCACTCCCCGTCCACTGCAGGACCCACCATTGAGTGGCTGGAGCCCAAACTGCCCGACATCCTGAAGAATGGCAGCAGCTCTCTGGGCAGCTTCGCGACAGGTGAGGGCCCGCTGGAGGGGAACCACTTGGAGCTCAGCAGCCCCGAGTCCTGCAACTTCTCCGGGGTAAGACCGGGAGAGGTTATCTGTGTCATGCTTGTTGCAGTTTTCTGTTAATGCTCTGTGAGACTGCCTCGTTTTAAAATCAGTCATACAAAAAACCTTTAATTTCTTCCCTCCTCTCTCCTCACAGGAACAGGAAGACATAGATGCAGAGGATGAATTGGAGGACTCCTTTACGGACAAGGAGGAGGACCTGGGTGCCGTGGAGGAGGAACGGAGCGTCATCCTACACCTGCTGTCGCAGCTGAAGCTGGGGATGGACCTCACGCGGGTAGGTCAAGTTCCCATATCAGCAAAAACAATCCCTCTGAGACGCCAGCACGAACGGGTCTTTGATAAGGCTCGCTTGGCTGTAACAGAGGAGGATTTTCCCGGAGCGAGAGGAGTTTCTTGTATCAATAAACACAGAGTTCAAAGCACATTGCGTCACAGTGAGGCGTGAAATGCTGCCAAGATTCCCTTCTGATTGGTTTTGAATGCAATTTCACAGAATTCTGGTAAAGAATAAACCAAAATGAGGAGTTCACACCATGTTCATCTGCAGCTAAATAAACCATTTTTAACAGTGTACTGATACACAGTTAAAAGTATGTGGTAAGATTGTTCCACACGTATTTCAGCCTTGACTCAGCAACTGTTACACAGAAACACTGCCTTTCACTTCTTAGGTTGGTTTTTTTTTTTTGTTTTTTTTAAATAAATCCTCCTGTGCTTTTCATGCATCATTATCAAAAAAACAAACCCTGCAAACTTTTCTAATGTAACACAAAAAGATCAACATCATTTACTGCAGTCATTGTGTCCTGATCAGTCCTTATGGTCCAGTAACGGTCAAAGACGCTGATACCAACCCGGCCTGGTGTACTGGTGCTTTGTAACTTAGCTGTTTAACAGAAAATAGAAAGAACTATGGCTTAACACTGACATGTTGGTTATTGCCTGCATCTGTTGTGAAAAAGTATCTGCCACCTTCCTGATTTTTCTTTTTTTGCATATTTGACAGACTTGCATGTTTTAAATCAGACAAATTTTAATATTAGACAAAGATAATCTGAGTAAATACAAAATGTAGCTTTTAAATTCTTTAAATCATTTATTAAGGAACAAAAAAGTAACACAGACCTACCTGGTCCTATGTGGAAAAAGTTATATCCCTATAGTTTGGTCATTTTGCAGATCTAGTGACAAAACATTTGTCCCAGTGAAAAAGCAACATCCAGATGAACAATATTCCTTCCTGGGATGAGAACTGACTTTGACTGACTTTGTTTCTCAGCTGTTTCTTTAGATCGTGGCCTGATGTGTTGCTTTTTGAGATCTTTTCGCAATATTTTTGTGATTTTTTTTTTTTTTTTTTTGTGATATTGTATCGATACAGGGACAACAAATATTTATCTTGTTAAATAAATTAAAATACTCTTGGAATACTAGGAACAAAAGGGATCATCTCATGCACCATCATCCAGACATAATGTTAGCTAAGCAAACTAACACATTATCCAACATTGGGCGCACTTAGCTTGACAATTCAGATCAAGCTAATGGCTGAAAAGGACAAACTCCTTACATCCACCAAAGAGAGAAAATAATAATCAGCGGCTGCCTGGTGATTAAGTTGAATTTTTCACATTGTGCAATTGACTGTAGCTTGTGGTGATAATCAGTTGCCCAGAGCTTGAGGGTGTTGCACAGTCATGACCACGTTTGATCACAAAGTGATTGCGCAGGTCGCCTGCACCTTTGCAGTGTGACTTGACCGACTGCAATCCCTCTGAGAGATTTCAAAGGTCTTTAAATAACTGCTGTCTGATTTATAAATGCAGACAGATTGCCTACATTTCGCCATCAGTCTGAATGAGTCTTTGTCATTGAGCACAACTCGAAGGGACTCGACTCAGCTGGCCTGTAGAACAGGAAGGCTGATCAATGAAAATGTAATTGTTAAATGTCAATTTCTGTCTATGCAGACAGCAACAGATATTTGTCACAGTTAAATGCTTATTAAATATCAGCCTGTGATGAGGCTGATATCTAGTAGCACAGTGCTGTATTCAAATTAAAGCCGCCCATGAAAGTAATTGAAGCTGTTTAAAAACCACATTTTGAGGCAGGATAAGGAGTCATGGTTGAAGTAAGCTCCTCATTCTTGGTAATTAGTTGTCAAGGACACGTGCTTAAACACCCTGACCCGAGGCTTACGCTGACACTCTTATCTTTCAGTGTCAGTTTGTTCCCGTAGTTCGATATCCTGCTCTTGAGTTTCTGATTTATCTCATGGGTCCGATGGCTTACCTCAGCTGGAACTCTAGTAAACACCCCATGATCCGCAGGGTCACGTCCTGTCTACGTCTTTTCACTTCCTCATTGCACTATATTTTTCTGCCTAACCTGAGCTAATTTAGAAGCATCCTCAGACTCAGTTTGTTAATGCAGTATGTTCCAGAAGATGTGATTTAAAATCTCTTCTCTCGTCCATTTTACTTGTAGGTGGTCCTCCCCACCTTCATTCTCGAGAAGCGCTCTCTGCTGGAGATGTACGCAGACTTCATGTCCCATCCGGATCTCTTTGTGACCATCACAGACGGCAGCAGTCCGGAGGACCGCATGGTCCGGTTTGTGGAGTACTACCTCACCTCCTTCCACGAGGGCCGCAAAGGCGCCATTGCCAAAAAACCCTACAACCCCATCATTGGCGAGACCTTCCACTGCTCCTGGAAGGTGCCCAAGAGACCAGACGCCTCCAAGGAGCCTTCACAGGGAAGCCCCGACCCCACTGCTTCCAGCCAGGACTCCTACCAAGTGCGCTTTGTGGCGGAGCAGGTTTCCCATCATCCCCCTGTGTCTGGTTTCTACGCCGAATGCCAGGAGAGGCGGATGTGTGTGAACACACATGTGTGGACCAAGAGCAAGTTCATGGGCATGTCCATCGGGGTATCGATGGTGGGGGAAGGTAAGGCAGCACAATTTTAAAAAAAACTGTGTTCTGCGAGGTTGGCAGCAGGAGTGGAAACACGAGCTGTTTTTACACATAGAGCACATGTAGGAGGCCCGCTCACCAGGTGTAGCTCCTCTACACTCTCATTCACACAGGCTTTGCTGAATAAAGAGAGAGTGTAGAGCATTTATTGTCTGATCTGACTTCTCCCCATTTTAATTCTCACCTGCACCTCGATTGGATGTCTAAAAAAGTTCAGGGGCGCGCTGCATTGGAAACATTAGATGTTTTCACACATGAACTCGAGACGGCGTCAGCAGAATCAGGTTGGCTTCTTATCTAAAGTTCTCACTTCTCACGTGTAGCAGAAAGCAAGAGATGGCCCGCCTCAGATGTGTTTTCACTGCTGGAAGTAATCTGTTTGGCTCAGGTGGAGCATGCTGAGTTCTGGCAAGTTACCTGCTCTCTTCTCACGTGCACAATATCATGATGTGTGCTGTGGAGCTGGCAAGTCGCTATCTCACCTCCTTCTGATGCACCAGAGCTCGAGGCCGCAGTGCCAAAAAAGCCTTTCCATACACAGCTGTAACTGACAATAGAAGTGAGGTGCCCCCAACTCCCTTACTCCTCAGTTTGGTTTTAGTTTTATCTTAAAGCCCTCTTATTACCAAAAGCAGAAGTGTAATTAATTTAGGACTAAATTCTGGTGTATCAGGTGTCATAGTTGGTGTATATTCTCATTTGACTATTAATGCATTTCCTAATAAAAGTATTTCTCTCTTGTCCTTGTTAATAAAAATGTAGGACAGGACATGTTTGTACTTTACTGTGTAGGGCCTCAACCACAGAAGCATCTCTGTCATTTCCTCTGTCACCCAGTACAGACAAATAAGGGAAGTGTCGCGGTTGTGCGTCGGTAATGTGCAGAGTCTGTGGACAGCTTTGCAGACTGTCGTCTACATGCCGTTGCTGTTTACCGTCACCAGGTGGCAGCATCAAAATTAGGTGGTACAGCCGACCTGTGAGATCCAGCTGCTCTTGATGTTGTTTATCAGTCAACCAGCTGCTGAAAAGAACAAAGTTAAAACCATTTCCATCACCATTTGACCTAAACCTGCCGTCATCCTTGTTGGGCTGCAGGCTCCTTTTGACCATTTCTGCGGTAGGGCTGTTGCAATACTAACATTTCAGACTTGGTTGAGTATTTTCCTGGATATTTCTATCATTATTAATACCACAGGGTGGAAAAAGACAAAAGAAAGATTCGACTGTATTCTTATTTATTGTTGCTGGGTAATACATTACATAGTACACCCCTCATATCTCTTTGTTACAACTGGCAGAAACCTTGTAACTCTTGTTTCTGTATTTATTCTTCCAGGTTGTCTGTATTTGCTGGAGCACGATGAGGAGTACACCTTCACGCTGCCCTGCGCCTATGCTCGCTCCATCCTCACCGTTCCCTGGGTGGAACTTGGCGGCAAAGTCACCATCAACTGCGCCAAGTCGGGTTACTCGGCAGTCATTACTTTCCAGACTAAACCCTTTTATGGAGGCAAATTACACAAGTAAGTCTTAGTTTTTATATCCACAACAAGAAGTAAAAGAAATGTATTTAATGTGGTTGCAATGATTGTCATTATATCAATATATGTGGTTTGAATCGTATCAGATTATGAGCTTGTGTTCCTTTTTGCCCATTGGGATCCATTTTCAGAAAGTTATGTTGTTATGCTGATGATGCTCAATTTTATTTACCACCAAAGTGCAACAACTTCCAAGCAGTTACTGCTTCGTTTCTTGGAAAACAAAAAAGTTTAACTTCAAACTGAAAAGCAGGAAAAAAAAAACAGAGGTGACCTTATTTGGTCATTGAGACGATGCTTTCATTCATTCAATGAAATGTGCTCTCTAAATGAACCGAACTTGACTATGTGACCAGGTGAACTACTAGCAATACTATGACAGTATTCAATTTAATTCAGTTTTATTTATATAGCACCAAATCACAACAACAGTTCCCTCAAGGAGCTTTATGTTGTAAGGTAAGGATCCTACGGTAATATAACCCCATGACCAAGCGTTTTGGCAACAGTGGGAAGGAAAAACTCCCTTTTAACATTTAGAAACCTCCAGCAGAACCAGACTCTGGGAGGGTCGGCCATCTGATGCGACTAGTTGGGGATGTTGGCAGTAAGACGAGTTTTTGATTGCCAGTTCTGCAGCTCTTTAAAATAAGTGTCCAAGATGGGCGTTCATATCTAAACAAATCCTCAAAATTGCATGTTTGTATTAATTCGGTCCTCCTACCACACGTTTAGGGTAACAGCAGAGGTGAAGCACAACTCCACCAATGCAGTGGTGTGCCGCGTACAGGGCGAGTGGAACGGCGTCTTGGAGTTCAGCTTCACTAACGGAGAGATGAGGGTGGTCGACGTCACCAGGCTGCCTGTGACGAAGAAGCACGTGCGGCCAGTAGAGAAGCAAGGACCGACTGAATCCAGGTCAGATGAAATTGAAGTTGAAGGAGCCAACTTGCAGTGTATTTAATAGCGTTTGCTGAAACATTTCAATCCTTTGCAGGCGCCTGTGGCAGCACGTGACCGAGGCTTTACGGCAGAAAGACGTCGAGAAAGCCACTGAGCATAAGACGGTCCTCGAGGAGAGGCAGCGGACAGAAGAGAGGCACCGTGTCGAGACAGAAACCCCCTGGAGGACCCGATACTTTGACAGAGAGGTGAGCAGTGGTGATTTATTAGGTTTCTGCTGATACAGCAGCTGGTATTTACTGCATAGGAAGTCATATTGAATCATATAACTGCCACATTGAAGATCTTACAACTTATATACACAAAATATTTGAATTGCATGATTTAAAAAAAAAAAAAAAAACTTCTCATAGGAGTTTCCACACATTAGTTTGATGCCCATTGTTTGGCAAAAATGTTGAAATCAAATACTTTGCAGCCTCAACTTAACAGTCTGGTGTTTTGTCTAACTTTATCAGGGTAAACAATTATGCCATCTCACTGCAGACGCTTCATTATCACTGATACGTGATGCCACACTGACTCTCGTCTCTCCTCCTGCAGGGTGAAGGTTGGGTTTATCACAAGCCACTTTGGAAAAACTCTACATTCAAATCCTAGTTTCTTCAGCCCTCTCCTATCTTGGATGTTGATATTGTAGATTCAGGTGTGTGTGTGTGTTTGTGAGTGTGCCGGAGTGTGTCTGCGTGCACACACGCATGTGGCCGTTGGTTATGAAATGACAAGCATGACCTGCACTGACGTACAGACGAATGCGACGCTGAGGGGGGAGAAGGACCGAGACGGCATGACCGAAGGTGTTCTCGAATCTCTCACATGATGTTCAGGAAGAGTACAAGTTTTTGTACTGCAGATTAGGTTTTTGTTTTAAATAATCTAATGTCAATGAAAACATATTCTTGTACAGGTAATGGTACTCTATTTACACAGCCTTAAGATGATCTGATGAATGATACTCTGTTTGGACTCGGATGATCCGCCTGGATATGGTTTCTTCTTCTTCTCCTCTTTTTAAACTGTGGTCTAACCTGAGGATAAAGGGACTTTTGGTGAATATCTTCTTTAAATAGGAAAGAAAATCCCCAAGTAACTGGAGAATACATCTCATAAAGCTGAATCTGTGTATTTGAGCTGATAAAACAGAAGTCATTCCCTCTGTCACTGGATGTATTTACTTACTCGTGGTGTTTTGATCTGAGCAGTACAGAAACATTTAGTGGATGCCTCCCAGAGTAATTATTAAACGGGGCAATTTCCCAGAGTATATACATAAAATAGCACATTGAGCAGTGCTTACAGAAATTTACGTACTTTAAAATGACAGATTTAAAGAAAAGTACTAAAAATTAAAAAATAACGGCATCTGAATACTGAACACTAAATTCACTCACTGTTTACTGTAGACTGCACTGCGTTTAATGTGTTTACTCTCATTTTATACATTTATTTATCTTGTCACTCTGAAGGAAAGGCCCCAGTCATATAGGCCTAGAGACAGGTTGGCAACCTGATGGCAACCACCAGTTGGTAGGTGGTGCTGGCAGTTGCAAAGAAGGTGCACTAGAACTGCTTTAGTTTCTAACATGTTGCTTATAGTTTGCTTGGAAGGCACCAACTTGTCTGCAAACACTTTGCAATGGCTCTCTGAGCAGTAGTGAAACTATGAAGAGTGCAAAACAAGCCTGTAATAGAGACCGCTCACCCTCAAGGTGGAAGTTGAGTCCTTTAAAACATGTTTTCAGTAATAAGGCGTACTTTTACTTTGAATTTGAACGGTGTCTATTTCCGGTTTGCATCACATTCCCAATTCGTAGTTTCACTCCTGCTCAGAGAGTAGTTGGGAGACTGTTTGGATAACACCCAACGTTTCTTTGCACCAACTACTCACGACCTTTCACCGAAGCAATAACAAAGAGGTTATTGGTGCCAGCACCCTATATCGCTTTGCGATCAGTTTTACCTTGCAACTGCTGGGAACCACTCCCCAAGCAGTTTGGAAATATGCCCCCCTCCCCCAGTGATGAGAGGTTGCCTGGGGTTTCCAGGTGTGCGTAAGAAGCCTAAGATGACCTTGGTGGCATCACTATGACTCTATTAGGGTTTTTTTTTTGTTGTTGTTGTTTTTTAAATCATAAAATTTAGTTCAAGCTCCCCTTTAAGCTGTAAGCAGATCCATCTTAGGGTTTGGTGATGGGTAAAATTCTCCAACAGTTCCAAATAGTTACCGTGTCCAGTAGTGGGTGCTGTGTTTGTGCAACAATTGCTCAGTAATGCATTGTGCCACGAGGTTTCCTTAACATCAACCGTACATTTCCAGAGGGGTGTACAACAAAGCAAGTTCAACAACCTAAAAACACGTTCACAGATCATCTGTTGTACTAATCAACTTTGTTAACTTTCGAACGTTATTGGATTTCATGACTTAAATAATCTGATATATTGGTTAGTTTTTCTTGAGATTTCCCTAATGTTTGTTATGTATGATTGTTTATTAGCCGTTACTAAGGGCATTGCAGTTCAAAAATAATCTTGTTTTATTGTCACAAGTAATGGATTACTCTGTTAAAGTCTGCTTGGAGCAGTTGGTTATTGTTTGTGGCTTCCAATACGTTGCCAGCAGGAAGTTGCAGAGTGCCCTCTGGTGGACACACAACATCAACCCCTGGCAAGGCTGAAGGGTGTTTCTCTCATTTCTTTCTTCCCTACTTTATCACGTTTTCATTTTAACAGTTATTAATGGCAACAGATTAGCACATCGCTGACATTAGCTAATAGCTGAGATGAGCCAATAGCTAAGATTAGCGCTGCTCTGAAAATAACCCGCTCCACACCAGGTTGTTTGGCATAAATAAGGTTAGCACGTTGTTAAAGCAGGCCATACAAAAGGCGTCATACGTTTTGTGATTTGGTGATTTATCCAGTTTGAACCCCCCGCACACACACGCCTTTGTGATGCTGAAGACATTGACTTTAGGCTAAACTTAGCTTGTTATCCTTTCATCTTGCTTCATAGTACACCCCTCAGGTCTGTACAGCAGAAGGAGGCACCACCTTGTGGCACTATTCAGCAATTGCACTTTACAAGCTAAATAATTCTCAAGACAGACCACTAAAAGAACAAAACTTGCACATTGACACTCCCCATTGTAAGTGCTTAGTAGTGCATTCGTGAGCAACTATGATGCAGAGTTTTAGGTAAGTAGGTCAGACCAAAAAACAGTGTTTTAAAAGAGCTAAATGAGCACGTAACCAGCCAACATGTACACTGAATTTAACGCCAAGTTTAGTCAGTGTACGCCCTTGTTGATGATCACTATAAATTCCTTTAGAAACACAAAAAGTTTCCTTTCAAAGCTTCAGCTCTCAATTTAATGCTGAATACTGTTAATATTGATGTGGGTTTTGTTTTTGTTTGTTTTTTTGACAAGTTCACGTTGCTGGAACAGCATGTTGTAGACTGAAAATTAGCTAATTTAATTAAATAATTAAATGATTCAGTCGCAGGTGAATGCTTCTTAAAAGGACAAAAATGCTATGCCACTCTTCATGTCTTTTGCCTTTTTTCTTTGTGGTTTTGCAGTGTTTGGAAAAGTCCTGCAGCATGATAGCAAACTCAAACTAAATTTCCTGATGTCTGTTGTGAAAGCTTTTAACCAAATTTGCTTCCTTTTGTAATGTAAATAAATATTTTCTTTAAATGTGTGTCCATCCCCGAGCTTGCCCTTCTTATTTCTGGAGTCACTTTGAGTACTTCATGTTCAATCAGTGTTTGTTTTCCTCTTTGATTCCACTCTACCGTGCTGTGATATATACATGATATCCTGTATGTATCGCCTCCCTGCTAAAGCAACACGTTCTGAGAGCAGAAAGCCACCCTGCCATTGATAAGCTACCCCCTTCAAATCTCGGTGCCTTATGTAAACTCTTCATGTGCGTGTGCCGTCCAGCAAGGAGCACGGCACTCATCACCTACTTATCTGACCGATGCAATGATGTATGTATTGTTAACGTGTGTTTGATTTCTTTTTCTTTTTTGTTTTTTTAAAAAAAAATCAATGCTTGACGTCGAGACTTCGACTGAGCACTTTTACTAACGGTTTTGACATCCTCCTAGTTTTTGGATTCTGCTGGTTGTCTCGCAGGTCTCTGAAATGCACTGAAGGAAACCTGGTATGGGAAAAAATGGATGTGTGAGATAATCTAATAAATGGTGTATCACTTGTATGCTGTGTCTGGTTCCTCTACTCATCAGCATTATTATTTATGTGAAAAAGGCTGATTTTAACACATATTGGAAGCTACACCTGCACAACTCCAGAGTAGTTTCCCTTTTAACAAATGACCAGTACTATGCTGTGAAATCAAGTCTAGGAACTCATCAGCTTAGCCTTTGGCTTGGAGTTTCAACTCTACTCAGGACATCAACTTAAAGGGAGCTCTATTACACTCATATCCAGCTCCATTGTTGGACTCTACTAGAGTGGCTTTGCATGATTAACTGTTCAAAATAATCCATATTTATCACATTCATGGCCTTTATGCAGCCCGTCAGTTGATCCTGCCTGAAACGAGCTGCTCTTTCTCCCTTTAAGCCAACTGTTTTGTGATTGGCTGCCCCTCATAAGCAGAAGATTTGATAGCACATGGGTGGAGCTTCTGTACCCACAGCCAGAGCTGTGAGCCTGGTATGACCATATCTTCTGTCATTAATCATATATTTTCTAAATCTGTGCCATCACAGTAGTTAAAAAATCTGAGGTTTTGATTACACTGACACTGACCTCATTATTTGAAACTCTCGCTATGTTAAATATAACATCCACCATTATAACTGTACATATATGCACTCCTGTGAAAAGCTAACTCCACCCTCTCTGCTTCCATAGATGGTGAGTAGCTGAACAAATGCACTTGATTAACTGATTGTCAGCCAGCATGAGCACCCCTGTAAAAGCAGTCTTTCCAGTAGTGAACGTCCCAGTAAATTCACCCCAAAGTAAGACCATGTTCAGAGAAACTACAAAACTTCCAAGAGCTGCCGCTGAGACTCTACAGGCCTCAGTTAGCGTGTTAAAGTTCAATGCAGCGCGATTAGAAAACGATTGATTAATTGAACAAGTATGGCTTATTTGGAAGAGTTGTCAGAAGACAGACTCTAAAAAGATAAATGTTATATTTTAGTTTGCTGATATTGCCCTGCTGCCCACGGGGTTCTAGGTCTTAACACTCGCTTGCTCAGACTTTGACTAAAGCCCATTTTGGCAGGATATTGTGTAGAATCTATGACGACGCTAGCCCTGAGTGAAAGAGAGACAGCTGACCTTGAACTCAGCCACAAGAAGTCAGGTATTTCAATAAAATACACAGTCCCCCACAAGGAAACCCACTGTGATGGAGCTCTGTGAAGAGCCGACACAGCTTCTTTACCCTGTGAGATTCAGCAAGGTGCAGCAGGATTTGCAGGTCTGTTTATTCAGACTATTCCATCATAATCATACCATTAATGCGAGTTATTTGCAAATCAGTTTATTTTTTCTGTTTATTAATCATTAAAAACACGTTAATTTTAGCACATGTATGGTCTGCATGACCTGCAGTGTCTTTGCTTCTTGCTGACGCAGTGTGTATCAAGTCATCAGGGTTCTTATCGAAGCATAAAGTTTTTTGTTTCTCAAATAGCAACTGTGTTGCACAAACGAGAGCCAGAGGATGGTGAAACACGCGAGTCATACATGAGGACGAGGCAACTATCTCAGCAGAAGAATGCCAAGGACACTTGAGAGATATGCCGGTAATAAAAGACTTTTACAAAAAGTTCACAGTGTGAAGTGTGTGGCAGACTAACAAAACAACTTCAGAGTTTAGTTGCACATTTTTTCCCACAGTTTGCAGTAAACAAATATTATTTAAGGGGATTCTGTTATTCTTCTTTTTAATCTCTGTTGTTTTGGTCTTGAATTAACTCGAGCCGCTTTGTGTGAAAACTTGGATTTTTGACTCACTCAGAAGTAACTCGAAGTTTTGAGTTGTGTAACTAAATTGATGATAACTCAAATTGTCAACTGTCAACCCTCTGAAAGTTTTTCGTATTTATTTATTTACTGTAAGTGCTGGAAACAAGCATTCATAGCTTTAGGTATGGTTCACAGTTTAAAATAATCCTCATTTATCTTATTCTGGGCCTTCGTTCTCTATAACAAGCAGTTTAATCCTCTCCCTTCAAGCTCATCTTCTTCTGATTGGCTGCCCTTCCCAAGCTTTGTTGTTCCTGCTGGCATCTTTGGCACTGGTGCTCCCCGTCAGCAGACAACAGAAAAAATCTTCATGATTCCTTCCACCTTGATGAGAATCCCAGTCCCAGACACACTGAAGCATCCCCACAGCATAATACTCCCACCACCATGCTTCACTCTGGGGACAATGTTCTTTGGGTTGTACACCTCTGCCTTCATTCTCCAAACATAAGCAGTGTCTCTGTGGCCTAACAGCTCTAGCTTTGTCTCATGTGCCGATGTGCTTCCAGTATGCATCATAATCGGGTTGTCCTTAGCATATTTCAGTCTGGCCTGAATGTGTTTCTTCTGCAGAAGTGGTGTTTTTCTCAGTCTGTGCAGGGTTCTAGTGATTTTCCTACAATTCCTGACTTGGACAAGTCATTCACAAGTGTCTTGGTAATTGTTCTGAGATCTTTAGACACATCTCTCACTAGTTTTCTTTCCAGTCTTTGAAATCTTTTGCTTCTTACCTCTGTTTGTTCTCAGTGGTTCTCAACGAGTTTCTTTATAACTATGTATATCCATCTCCTGCTTTGTGAAGATCAACAATTCCTGTTCTCAAGTCTAAACTGATTTCTTTTGTTTTTAACATGATGCTTTGAGCAGTCATAGCTTAAACCCTTGCTGAAGTTTTCATACTGTGAAGATAATCCTTACAAGCTTAGAGCATTACAAAGCACATCCTTGGACAGCAGTGGTGCAGATGTGTGTACGCGGGGGGTGGGTGGGTGTGTGTGTGTGTGTGTGTGTGTGTGTGTGTGTGTGTGTGGTTGGGATGGGGGGGTCTGATACAGTCTGATACAGCTACACAGTGTGAAGAAGGTCATCAGTCAGACCCTCCCTGTGGTGAGCAGCGAGCTTCCTTTACTCTCCTCTCCCTGCGTCTCACTCAGGGCCTCCGTCACAGCTGAAGAGCAGCTTCTATTGCTTCTATAACCACCAGGAAAAGTCTCAGCAGCTCCAACTTATCATTATTATCATTTTAATTCACGATGGCTCTCCATATATCTGGTCTAATAACGATGGTCATCTTTTATTTGTTGGTGCTGGGGATTGGGATCTGGGCTTTTTTGAAATCTAAGAAGATGGAGAAAAATTCAGCTGGTGGACAGGTGGAAGTTTCTTTTTTGGCTAATCGGAGGGTCACCTTGACAGTGGGCGTCTTCACCATGACAGTGGGCGTCTTCACCATGACAGGTGAGTTCACGTAGAAGTGTGTGATCAGTAATTTGGTGCTAACCTCAAACACATTTTGCTTTGTTTTTTTTTAATGAAACAATATCTGTTTGCTTTTATAAAAGTAGTAACTTGTACCATGAATGTGAGACTTGTGTGTGCTCTGTCTTGTATGATCGGCTGCAGCTACTTGGGTTGGAGGTGCCTTTATCATTGGAGTTGCAGAGAATGTTTATGACCCCACAAAGGGGCTAATCTGGGCTCTCATTCCTCTACAAATATCAGTTTCATTCATCATCGGTAAGAACCTCTTACAGAGGAGTATTTACCTCCAAAAATATGCCTAAAATGGGCTATTTTCTTCAAAATAAGATCCACTCATACAGGATATGTCCTTATCTTCTATCATTACTTAAGATTTTTTTCTTAACTGTCCCCTTCTCTTAAAGGCAAATTTTGAATACCTTGACATTCCTCAGCGATCACTAAACTCTTAACCACAAGAATCAAACATAACCTGAAATCTAATTTCTGCACTGCTTTGATTGTTGTCTCTTTTGCTAAAGGTGGTCTGTTCTTCGCAAAGCCGATGCGGGATAAAAATTACATCACCATGATGGATCCCTTTCAGAGGAAGTATGGGACAACACTGACCGGGCTTCTCGCCATCATCCCTTTCATAAGTGAAGTCATGTGGGTTCCTGTCACGCTGATTTCCTTGGGTAATATAAACACACAAACACTTCCTTTCAGAAGTGTTGCCTAAAGGTGCTTTTTGTAGTTACCCTGCAGAATTTAGCCAAACATTTTCACAACCAGGGGGCAGCATTTTACCAGTTACCTCTAAACTTCATATTTTAAATACGGTTATATCCTCATAAGGATTTGCCCACTTAAAGAGCGTATTCACCAGTAACACTGGCTCGCCTGCAACATCTAGTGGTCCAAACTGGTATTACACAAAACTACAGCATTCAACTTTAGTTGCCGTCTCTTCAATACAACACACAGGTGTTCTGTTTTTTTTTTAACTCTTATTTTGTTATTTTTTGGAAGGTTTTAAAACTTCTAATTGCCTGTATTTGCCATGAGTATCTTTAAATATTTATAATGGTCAACATGATTTTCAGAGGTATCGATTATGTGTGTTTTTCTCCCAACAGGAGTCACACTTTCCGTCTTTTCCGATCTGCCCTTAAGTCTCTGCATCTGGATCTCTGCTGCGGTGGCCATCGTCTACACAGTTCTTGGAGGTCTCTATTCAGTTGCTTTTACTGATGTCATCCAGTTATCACTGGTGTTTTGTAGCTTGGTGAGTTTAATGTGACAACACATAAACAAGACTGCTTTTCCAACACGCCAGAGGTAAAAGTTATCTCTCGCAAGAAAGAGTGCACGTTACAGTTGAAGCAGATTCGTTTCTCAAAAGCTTTACTCTGTTTTTTTTTTCCAGTGGTTGTGTGCTCCCTTCGTTCTGGCGAGTGATGTCTACACCGACCTCCGTCAAACAGCTTTCAACCACACATTTCAGGCACCCTGGCTCGGCCGCCTTGAGCCTGATGACGTGTGGATATGGATCGATAATTTTCTCGCAATGGTGAGATGACATAACAGTAACATGTTTCTAATGATTTAATAAGATCTGAAGTCCTTGAAACCTTATATTAAAACAAAAACATTGTATATAAAAGATTATATCAAATAAAGTTGATATGTCGCTAATAAACAAACAAATTGAACAAAAAGGCTGAAAAAATAAGAGGTACAATAAAA